GTTCCCATATTCTGCTTGAGAGTGTCCTTCTTCAGACTCTGCCAACGGGTCATATGATTCACCACTTTCATCTTCGTTATCATTCCATACTCCCGACACATCCCAATCACACATTCTATCATCTCCTAGATTACATGGAACAACATCTGGCCCCAATGGTGTTAAACCCTCTACATCATGACCTATATGCCCGCAGGAGGGGTGTGACTGTCGGGAAGAAGAGGGGTTCGATGATGAGGAAGAAAATGAGGGTATAGGATATGTGGGTCTCTGGAATGGGGGAATACAAGCTGCGGACATAGGAATCGATGACACATTTTGGCCTAAATAATATGGGAAAGAAGGCATGTACGTTTCATTCCCATGTACCTGCTTTGGCACATTAGATATATATATATAGGCAATTCAGATACATCCTCACCAGTAAAAAAAAAACGCAAATCATCGTCATTAGTTATTTCCATCACACAAACTTCGGTTTTAAAATGATACACGTGTCTAATTATAATATCAAACTGTAGGGGGTTAATGTTACTCAATCTATACACGTGACCTAGAAATTATCTGTACGTGATTGTACTATCCACTGTCAATCCCCTCGTACGACCGCCGACATAATCTTTTTCATTATCATTCCATTCTCCACCGAATGTTATGAAAACACGAGGCATCCTGCAAATAGATAAAACTAAGTGAGATAGGAAAATCGATCATTCAGAAATAAAATATTAAAAATTAAGAAAATAAAAAAAATGTCTCGGATGAATCTTGGACCAGTCTTGGTCCGAGATACATCTGAGACAGTCCCGATACGTGATGCATCGGGATTGTTTACATTCAATCCTGGACCAGGTATAGATCCGGGATTGAAGTAATTGCAATAATCTGATTTTTTTTTTTCTTGTCAACAGCCAAAGTGGGACCTAAATCTGTTTATCAATTAAAATCCTTTTCCTTTTTCACTTCTTTTTGGGCCAACATGGAGAACTAACCATCTTTGCATAAATAATATCAACTCTATTTGATTTTGGTGTATAAACGGGTTTACTGGGAGACTTTACCCCAACGTATAGTACTTGGCCTTAGTCAGCAAAGTCAATCTTACTTGAAAAAGCATCCCAGTCTCAGTCTACTTTGATTTTGTAGAGACTAAGGTTGGAGAAAATCCAATGTTATGTATTCTCATTATTAAAGTCTATATATATAGACAAATATACAAGGTTGACCTAATCCTATAAGGAGAAGGTAAATGACAAATTAATATTCATACAAGAATATAAAATATACTAATCTATATACTCTAACAGATTTAAAATGAGGTAATTACCGCAACTTTTCAAAAACATTTCACAAAAACATTTTCATGATCACATAAAAATATATACTGTACTATGAATTAACTCAATAAGCAAAACAAAAAATACCAAAATACTCAGCTTTTCCAAGATACGCCCAACTTTTGCACAACCATACTAATGCACCGACCTACCTGCAAGTTTTCAGACAAACCATAGGTTAATTCATCACTTCTTTAATTACATTAACATTTTTAATTAAACTTGACCAGCTAATAAAGGTAAAAAGGTTTTTTTTTCTTGATTTTCTAAATGAAGCAAAAGAGAAGGATAAATACAAGACTCAAAATGAACTAAATGTAGTCATAATTTTGATAGTTTTCGTTATACATGAATCAAAAAGGATATTTCGAAAGTATAGAAACCAAAATCACCAAAGCGAAAGTATAGATGGACCAAAACAATGTTTAAGCCCAAAATAAAAGTAGATAGCTTTTCGTAGATATTTTTTCAAATTCTATGAAAATGAAGTTATTTCTCTCTCGCATGAAAAAGGGAAAAATAAGAATACAAAGTAAAAGCATACCACAAAATTGCATACTTTCTTTAGAAAGGTGGTGACACTAATCAAATCACCTTGATAATGAATTTATCAACATCTCCAAAATACTTGATGAACTTAGAAGTTGTCATGCAAACGAGAGTTTTAACAATGAATTCAGACATTTAAGTTGATAGTTTAGCAATGCCAGTACCTTTCGTAGCCTGTGGTTATGGTTGTTGGTGTAGAAACTGCGACGTCGTGAGAAAATTGTCAACCATTTTCCTTTCTCTTGCATGCAGTAGATGAAGACCACACTGTTGCACATCTAATAATTCCTCATAATTGCTACTAACCATACTCCTAAAGTAATTGCAATATTTCAAAGGGATATGAAATGCTGAAAGTGGTATGAAAAAGAGCCAAATGAATGATGTTCTGCATTGGCTCAAAAGCACTTTTGCAGGAACAAGCAAGTGGTGCTTCGGTTTCACCTCATGAGAATCAACTCCAAATTCACATTTAAGATCCAACACTTTGATACCACTCTGTGGCTCTGGAATCCTTTCAAGTTTTTCTATCAGCTTGCTTATGGTCACCACAGCACACATAAGAACCCCAACATGATATTCAATAAAATTCACTATTTCTGGTATTCTTATTGTTGCCTCGTTTCCCATGCTTCTACTGATGAAAAAATTTGGGATTTCTTTTCCATGAATAATAGAGTTGAACTTACTTTTGTACCGATCCTGTCAGCATAGTATGCAATCAAGTATATATAAAGCTAATCAAATCATTTTTAGAGAGAGATAGAGAGAGAGAACCTGAATCCTCTCCTTGAAGGGTGGGCGTTGAGAACTTTCATGTCTTAATGTCTCAGTTGAAAGGTGTTGAGTTGGATTATTAGAAGTAGATGTTGCGACTTTTTTCCATATGGGCTGTTGATACGTTGCTAAAAGGTCTCTCAAAATCTTGTGGCTATAATTCTGACATTGCTTTTGTTCACTCTTTAGCACACAATCCACAATTTTGTGGATAAATCCGTCTACGTTGTGCTGGTAAACCAGACGAGCCCCACATAGCTCAACTTTCAAGCTCGTAGAATTAGTAAGAAATTTAACATAAAGATGATTTGACTTATCTTGTACATAGGGAGACGTCTCTCGTGGTTTGAAAATCATGAAGAGTATTTTAGATGAAGACCATAATAACTGCAGAGGAATCATATGAGGGCTATGAAATGCATATGATCTTACTCTCTTTAAATATGTACCATTCTCATCAATGTCTATTTGCCAGCTGAAGGGATGATCTTTAACAAATTCAGAGTTCCTCTCTACCGAAAAGACAGCAAACATGGCCAATCCCATCCATTTCTTCTCTCTAAACATATTTGGAGGGAGCTTCATTTTCACTGTGTCATTGAGTTGCTGGATTCTAAACCAACTTGGAACTTGGTTTTGTGGGAAAAAGTAAAATGGAAAAATATGCTTTGTATCCTTAAAAAAAACAAAAATATGGTGTCATGAATCTACAATAACACAAAACAAAAGAGAAAGATAATTAATATATTTTATAAGAAGACATACCTCATACGTTCTCCGAAGAATTGATTTGAGGTTCCTTCTCAATAATGAAAATGAGTCTCTTTCATTCTCAACAAATTGAATTAAATAGTTATGTTCCACAGTTTCTGGCTCATCACAATTACATTCACTCCAGTGATTACCCCCTACAATAAATGTCTGGAATTTTTCCTGAATGCAATACATCCTACTGAACATTTTTGCCATAAATTGTGATGCATTTTGGTGGGAGAGTATAGAGGCACCACACATTTGTATATGGACAGACGACACTTCATACTTAATCGTAGCCTTAAAACTACATAATGAGTTTTGCATTGATGTGCTTTTTGGAAGCTTGTGAGATGGTATAAATAGTGTCCAAAATCTTATTCTAGATGTCAACGCAAATGTCCCATAGAAAACAGTAATGGTAGGGTTCATATCAGTTTCCAACTCAATGGAGAAGTTGCAATAAAATGTATCAACTTCATTATGACTCGTGTTCTTAGAGCATTGAATAGAAGCTGAGAGGACAACTCCATAGATAATGTTTGCATCATTTTTCACCTGATTGTACTCAACTTCTACCGAATTACCTTCTCTTATTTCATCAAAGCATTCCAAAATTTCAGCCTTATCACAAGTAGTACCAAACGTGGCTCTTTCCAAAATAAGCTCCTACAAAATTAAGATCAAATTAAAATAGTTTTTCAATCTAAAAGATATGCAAATTGTTGACATGCATGTTAATATTCAATACTATAAAATGATGTGATAGAAAGAGACCTCATAAGTCTTCGGGTCTAACTTGGATTTAATTTCTGAGCCGTACTCAAGCCTAAAAGGCTTGTCAAGCTGACAAGGAAGGCTTTGATCAATAGGCATTCCAGATTCAACTGAAGAGAACTTGGGTTCTAGATTTATTGAAGGCTTTGGTATTTGCTGCAACTTAAAGCAATCATGAAACATCAATTGTTTTAGATTCACAAGGTGATTGATGCTTTTTGGGTATTGTACAAAATGATTTCCACTGAGGTCTAGACTTTCCAGTGAGGAAAAGCAATGAAGATCTTCAGGAATGTCTTCATCCACTAGATTGCAATTTTTTAGACAGAGATGTTCAAGTGACTTCAAACCAAAACCCAAACCTGAGATTTGTCGATTTGATCTTTGAATATCGCGAGGTAGTAAGGAATGCCAAATCTTGCGTGATAGCCCTTCGCAATTTAATCTTTTAAGATTCTCTAAATAATGAATAGTGGGCGGTGCTTGACAGATAGAAGTTTTACCAATGTCGAGGTACTCCAAACATTGTGCATTTCCCAAACTCGGCGGAATTTGGTCAAGGCTTTTACAACCTTCCAAAAGTAGAACTTGAAGAGACTTCAAGTTACCAATTTCACTTGGAAGACTAGAAAGCATAATACAATTTCTCAGGTCCAACAAAACTAGCCCAATTAAACATCCAATTGAGGAGTGAAGTTGTTTTATGGGAGTCCCAACTAGATGAAGTCGACTCAAGTGTTCCATATTCACCTCAAATTTGGGAGAACTTGTAAGACCTGATTCAGAAAGAATTAAACCTTCGAGACTTTTGCATCTCAAATGTGACGAAAAGCTTTTAAAACTTGAGCAGTTACTTAGGTCCAGAAGTCTGAGACGATTCAGATCATTGATGGAAGGGTGAATGTGATACAATTTTCTACAATTACGTAGTACCAATCTTTCAAGATTTGGGACCTTTGAAAAATCAGGGGTCCCAAGTAAATACTTTGAGTCACTAACATCGATCACCTTCAGTTTCTCAAAGTCCTGGTGCAAAATAATTTGTTCCATCTTTTAGTCAAATATATAAATACTTGATGACATTATTATTGAAGGTAGAGTTACAGAAGAAATAAAATTTAACCTTTTTTCCCTCCCAAAGTATTTCAATACTACTCAGAGGCAGGTGCAGTTCAAGTAAACACCTTGATTGAAAATTTGGAGGCAAACACTTTGACGGATAGCCTGGCCAATTGATAAATCCCAAAAGGTTTGAGAGAAAATTGATATTTCCAGAAAGCTGCACATTGCTAATTTCCAATATTCTTAAATAGGTCATATCTGTAAATGACTTGGCCTCCAAAATTAATTCTTTTTGCTTCTTCTCCAAGTTTAAGACTATGCCTTCAGTGTATTTTAATCCCTAACATTCGAATGTTCATAGTAAATACTTAACTAGAATAATTATATTAAAGAGGAGAGAGAGGGCATAAAGATAGGACAAAATTAACTTACATGTTTCACAGTAAAAACACGATCAACATCTTCCTGAAACCAAATCCTACTTTGTTTACCCGGTTGAGTTAAAGATTCTCTATGCACAATTTCTTGACCTAAGGCCACAACTAAATCATGCATTAATATCTTCGTAGGTGAAACTTCAAGTAGACATCTTTCCATAAACAATTGTAATTCACTGTAAGGGCTATAACCAAAGCACTCAAGTATTTCAATCACTTTGTCTTTCTTCCTCCCATGGAATAAACATGCCAAATCAAGAAAAACTTTCTGACTTTCTACTCCTAACCCATCATAACTAATCTTTAATACCTCAAACAAATTCTTTTCATCAACTTTGATGAGCCTATACAATGTTTCCTTCCATATTACCTCTTCCTTTTTATTCAAATAGGATCCAATTACTTTCAAAGCTAATGGAAGTCTTCCAAGCTTTTCTAAGATCTCCTTGCTAAGATTCATGAAATTGCTATCAATGTAGTCGATTCCAAAGGCACGATTGCAGAAGAGTTGTAGGGCACTGTCAGCATCTAGTAACTTCAACTTGTATTCTATAATTTCATAGGGTTGATGGAGAATTTCTTTGTTTCTAGTTGTAATGATAATTCTACTCCCTGGACCAAACCAATCGGGACTTCTAGCTAGCATTTCTAGTTGCTCTTTTTCTTCAACCCCGTCAAGAACAAGAAGAACTTTTCTACTGCATAGTTGATTCTTGATCATTTCTGCTCCATAATCCTCATCCCACATTCTAACGTTTTCTTTTAAAAAAAGTCTGGATAGTAGTTGTTCTTGAAGTGACAATAAATTATTTTGCTTAGAACTACCTCCAAAAACACGAAGAAAACAACTACCCTCAAAATTAGATTTGATGCAGTCATACACGACTTTAGCAATGGTTGTTTTACCGATGCCACCCATCCCAACAATCCCTACAAAGCGTACGTCGTCCAATCCTAAACCAAGTTTCACATTCATTTTTAGCAACTGATATGTCATTCCAACTAAATTCTTGTCTGAAGTTGCTATCTTAGGACGCCATCTTTCAAATATCTGGTTAGTAATTTTCTTTACGATATTTACTTCAGAGCTGCATAACAAAAGGCAGAGTACATTAAAGTTAATCGACAATATTGGGAGATGGAAAAAAATTATATTTTATAGGTTAAATTATAAATTTAGTCCCTAACCCTTCAAAGTTGTATCAAATAGGTTTCTAAACTCTAGAAAGTGTCAGGTCCCTAAATTTTCAAGTTGAGGGCCTAATTTGTAACTTATCTATTAACTTTTTATGTATCTATCACATGTGGTAAGTTCGTTCGAAACCTCATAATCACACATAATCTTTAAATAGTATAGTTAACAAGCCACATAAACACTAAACTAACAAAGTTTGATAGAGTTAACGGCAGAAATTTATTTGACCTATTTCATACTAGAAAGTTCAAGAACTAAATTGTAATCAAACCTATTTTATAATATCAATTGAAATGAGATTCATCCGTAACTTCAATATCTAATTTTAAGACAATCAAATGATATTTAGTTTACCTGTGCTGTGTAACAACTTCTCCCGTGAGGTTGCCAATTTTTGTCATGGAATCCTTCCAATTCTTAACCTCCACCAAGTACTTTTCCTTTTGCTGGCCTGTGATTTTTTTAGCGTCTTCTTCATGTTCATCAAAGCTTTTCTTGAAATTTCCAGACTGATGTCGAACATGGGAAGGATCCACATGGTAAAACACAGGAAGAACTTGATGTGTCGTCTCAGACATACAATCCATTATCTTGACTAACTCTTTCAAGCACCACTTGGAAGAAGCATAGTCTTTCGATAGAACCACGATTGAAGACCTGGATTCTTCAATTGCTTTCATAAGGTTTTCACTAAGATCGTCCCCGATCAAGAGCTTCCTATCGTCCATAAAAGTCATTATTCCCAATTGATGCAAGGCCTCGTACAGAAATCCGACGAAATTGTTGCGAGTGTCTTCCCCTCTGAAACTTATGAAAACATCATAAGTCATTCGTGGGCGATTAGGAGGAGCTGTTGAGGGAACCTCCATGGTTGCAGAGAAGAGAACCTGAAAATTGAAAGGAAATTGAATTGGGTAGAGAAAACTCACCAAAGGAAAGTCATGGCCTCCCCTTCTGTTGTTTATTGGTTTTTCTTCGCGACTCTCTTCGAGCTGCATTGAGTTGAAATTTTGCATTATTGGTTTGGTGAGTGGTCCATTCTCACAGTCAACTTTCTAGTCATGAGGTTGGAAAAAAGGAAAAACAAAGACAAAATATATTATGAAATTCTTTTATTCAAAAATTGTATGTTATCGAAATCGATCAAAGATATATAGTGACGGGTTCCTTGGAATTTCATCCGTTCCGAATTCAAGTGGCTGCTCATCATTCCAAAGGTGAACATTTCTATTGACCGTAACTGTTATGGTTTACAATCCATGGTTCTTAATCAACCATTTCTCTTATAAAGTTTTAAGAGAGAATAACGAGTAATAAGAGAATCTTTGTTGCTAAAGTGAGCATAGCTTAGCAATAATTAACATAATCTTCAGTCAAGAAGTTGTGAGTTCGATCTCCCATCACTACTCAAACAAAAAAAATAAATATATAATTTTCTTCTTTCTAACAATAAATATATTATGGTACTAATTATCTTAATTACAATAATAATAAATTTTAACTTATTTTATTATTCGTTGATAGTAAATATTTTTTATTAGAACAATTTATTTAATATTAATAAATAATGAATAATTAAAATAAAATTGCATCAACTAAAAAACTTTTTTATTGGTGCAACTATGATTTAATATAAAATATTATTATATGATTGTTATTGTTGTAAAATTATGAAACAAAATGAGGCACAACGAGTACACGAGTAACGAGAGAAAAACGTAAATAGACAAAACAACAAATCACCAAAAGTATAAAAGAAATGAAACTTTCAAAATGGAATATACATTTTCAAAATGGAATTTCCCACCAAAATTTTCCTCCAATTTTCACATCACAAATGAGCCATGAATTGCTACTATTTATAAACAATTTGTACAACCATGAGGTGTTATACACTAATCATAGGTAGAAAATAGACACATGGGATATTTGAGAACTCAGCACTTGATCATGGTTCATTTGAACCTTTGGAGATACTAGGTAAATGAAGATGTTGACACATAGGTTAGGGTTTATTAAGGCATCTTTCTTTTTGACACCTAAGATGGGCATCTATTTTTTTAGAATGTTTATAATACTCCCCCTTAGATGTCCATTGTATATATATGAAATGTCTCATTAAAATCTTATTAGGAAAAGACTCAATGGGAAAAAGAGTACCTATTATATATATATATATATATATATATATATATATAATAAACTCAAAAATAAAATATATTATACTCCTCCTCATGGAAACATCATTTGAAATCTCTGAGCCGCTGTATTCCAATATCGCATACCAAAAGTTGTAGTAGGTAATCCCTTTGTAAATAAATTTGCTAGGTTATCCTTCGAGCAAATTTGTTGAATATTGATATTGTCATTTTCTTCAAGATCACGAGTGTAGAAGAGCTTATGTGAGATATGTTTTGTTCTATCCCCTTTAATATATCCTCTTTTGATTTGGGCTATACATGTTGTGTTATATTCGTATAATATCGTTGGAAGATTATTAGGTGACAAGTCACATGTTCCACGAATGTGTTGAGTCATTGATCTTAACCATACATATTCTCGACTAGCCTCATGAAGAACAATAATTTCAACATGATTTGAGGATGTAGCTATTATGGTTTGTTTCACTAATCGCCATGATATAGTAGTTCCTCCACATATGAACAAATAACCTGTTTGAGATCTAGCTTTGTATGGATCAGATAAATATCCAGCATCTGGATAGCTAACTAGATCAAAATTTGATTTGTTTGAATAAAACAAGCTCATATCATATCAGTTGTTCCTCGAAGATAACGGAATACACGCTTAACCCCATTCCAATATCTTTTTGTTGGAGAATAACTATATCTAACTAATAAATTAACTGAAAATGCTATATCTTGAAATATCAACGTAACTAAAATGGAATAAAAAAATTAATCGACAAGATTTACAATATAACAAAAACATAATACTATAATTGCAATATATGATACGGAAGGAAAATCTATACTTATTTGGTAATAAATAGCTGAAAATTATATAATAAACATTAAAAGATGACATCTTCCAGGACAATATTGAGACAAAAAAAAAATAGAAATTCAAATCTAGAAATTTAGATTTGTAAAATATGGGGAAAAAATTGGACATTTGTGAAATATTATTACTAATTTGAGCAATTTGAAATAATTTCCCTTATATAAGCGGTTGAGAAAGCAGACCCACTGGAAATTTAGAATAGGTGTCCCTATTTATTACCTTATTTTAAAAAATGGTCAAATAATCTTTGATAATAAAAAATCTTTGTAAATTTGATTTTGACCTTCTTCTCCATTCCTATTTAGTTATTGTTTTTTGAAATCAAAATATTCTAACTTTCATTATCTTTCCTAGATTCTATCTCTCATTCATTCTCGTTTCTTTTCCAACCACTATTGCTATAAACTTACTTGATAGAGATTGAACTCACTAAATCAGAAGAGATAGCACACCAAGAGATGATCGTAGAACGAAACAATTGGAGCAGAGTTGATAAAGGGAGAGAGTGGGGAGAGAGACGAGGCAGGTGATAGAGTTGGTTGCAAGTGGGCGGTGGGTGGTAGAGGGAAATGAGAGAGATGCCTATATGCTAATTTTCTACCCATTGTCTATACATTTTTGGCTTGAGATAGAGTGCCTTTTGTTTTGAGGTAGAGTACTTTATATTTTTATATTAACTGTTCACAATACACCTTATTTCTTTCTGTTTATCGTATTTGTTCCTCTATATACAGTATTTTGTTCCTTTGTATATCGTATTTGTTCTCTATTTACCGTATTTATTCCTCAGTGCATTGTTCATTGTATTAGTTCTAGCTTGGGTCTCAGTATTTATATTTCTAACTACATTTTGTTTCTTAATATTTATTATATATTCTTTAAGATTTTTTAGTATGAGTTTCAATAATGATTTTATTGTTTAAATTCTGTTTTAGATTTTAATTTAATGAATGTTTTTTCTTAGATTTTTTAGTATGATTCTCCTAAAACTTAGTTAGAAAAACATTTGAACTAAAAAATATAAGTATGATTCTCAAAATATTTGAATTGTCCAGTAAAAATTTCATACCTAGAAAATTAGTAGAAATCTTCGTTTAGGTTGTTCATTCTTCAAAACTAAAAATTGTTTGGTCATCTTTTGAAATTGTCATGGCCAAACAACTTTAAATTTTCAATAATGGTCAACGTAAAAACAAGAAGATCTCTACTACTCTTTAAGGTACGAAATTACCTCCCTAAAATAATTTTAAAATGAATATATTATTTTTCATTTTTTACAGGAGAATCTACCTATATTTTTCATAATTCATATATTTTTAGAATCTTACCTATATTTTGTTTTTCCCAACCAATTTTTAGGAGAATTATACTAGGAAAAATATCCATTAAATTAAAATCTAAAACAAAATTCAAACAAGAAAATCATTATTGAAAATTATACTCAATAAAATAGAACAAATTCGATGAAAGTGAACAGAGGACAGGAACAAATACGGTGGAGGTGAATAGAGGAACAAATACGGTAAAGGTGAACAAAGGAACAAAATACGGTAAAGGTGAATAGAGAAATAGAGAAACAAATACGGTGAACAGAGGAAAAAAATAATGTGAAGAAATAAGCTGTATTTTTGTGAACAATTAATACAAAAAGTATAAAACACTCTACCTAAAACCAAAAGAAATTTGTAGAAACCCAACATATATGCCTCTCTCTCCTGCTCTATCACCCATCACATTACCCACCGTTGTTTCCTCACTCGATTCCGTCAATTTGTCTCATCGCCTAACAGATCTTGTCTCTCTCGCTTGATTTCTGTCTCCCTTACCATACCCTCAACTCAGCTCCGATCGTCTCCTCTCTGATCATCTCCCTTAATGCGACATCTCTTTAAATTTGGCTAGTTCTGTGTCTATGTATTAAGTTTATAGCAAATAGTTGTTGAAAAAAAACTAGAATCAAGGGTAGATAGAATCTAGGAGATGATAAAAGTTAAATATATTTTGTTTTTATAAATAATAACTAAATAGAAAGGGTAAAAGTGTCAAAATCAAACCTGCAAAATAGTTAGAAAAATACAAATTGACATTTTTAATTATCAAGATCATTCAACCATTCTTCAAAACTGGGTGACAAATAAGGACACCTGCTGTAAATTGGTAATTTAAAATTTACTCCTAAATAGGTCTATCGATGGACAAAAGTGTAAATATTTGAGATCGAAGACACTTTTGTTATTAGAATCTTAAAAATGAATTAGCTGCATACTTAGCCCTAATGCAAATATGGATTCTAACTCTACATTAAAAAAATTTCCAGGTTCGTTTAAGGAACTTGAGATAGTAAATCTATATTTCTACACTTGCCTTTAATGGTAAATGTAGTCTAGACACATTTACTTTATAAGAGAGTGAGTCTTTTGGTTCGATAATACTTCAATTTTAATTTTTTAAAATTATACTTATTTACTCACATTATTTTTTACCTTAAAAAAAAAAGAAAGCTCCTTCTTGGCTAATTTTTTTTAATAGCAAATGTAACAAAAATACATTTTCAAAAGATACCTTTAGTTTCAAAAAAATAAATTTGATTAGAATTTTGAAAATGTTCTAAAAAGTAGTAGACTATACAACGTCAACGAGTATATCTCAGTGGTAATTATATTGGCATATATCTCAAACTAAGAAGTTGTGAGTTCAACGCTTATATTTTTAAAACTAAAATGGTTATTAAAATGGAATTTCTAAGGCACCCTAGGTAGGCATGTTCATGGGGGGGGGAGGCTTCTCCATGAAATTTTGTGGGGATTGGGGTGGGGATCCCCAAGGGAAATTCATGGGGTTCGGGTTCCCGTCCCCATCCCCATTTAGGTGGTGGGGAAAATTTTTTCCCTATCCCCACCCGTGGGGAAATTTAAACAGGGATTCACTTCCCCATTTAGGCGGTCCCCGTGGGGATGCGGGGCCATCCCTACCCTAGGGTGTT